CCAATTACCTGCAATGTACACCTATACGCGTATATTATATTATACAATATATTTATATACATAATATTATTACATACAGTTTACCTACACCAGCTGTACACACTTACAACCGGTACGGTGTTGATTTTTTTTTTTTTTATTCTCACCCCATCTCACTACTTTCTTTTATAATGACTCGTCGTACTCATGAGCATATAACCTAACGAAGCACACAAACTACGGTGATCCCTAGTATACAGTACATGGGCACGACCAACCCGCCAACTAATCCTGGTGAACCAAATTCCAAACTGCAATCTGTCATCCTCACTTAAAGTTGTTGAATAAAAGGGGGGTGGGGGGTGGTAGAAGAAAAAAATTCACTGAAACCCCTTATTTTTAACCACTAACCAAACATTTGTGTATACTTTCTCTGCGCTTCATACGCGTAGTGTTTAACTCACTTACTCACACACACACACACACACACACACACACACACACACAAGTACGGGCACGTTTTATAAAATGTAGTTTTAAAGTGTGGTACGAGACTTTCGACAAACCAATTGTGGTGACCATGGTTCGATAATAAGCACACACGTGAGATACGTCCAAAACGAGTGAAATTATATGGCATGTCATGCGGTTGGGATTCTCGTCAGGAGAAAAGAAAAACTTTGTCGTGGAAATTATCATCAGCACATTATATTTTATATGAGACCACTTAGACAGTGTATACTTTTTAGTTTTCCATTCAAATGTTGACATTACAATTTACGTAAGCAGTTTTCATTATTTCAAATTACCATATAGTTCAAACTTAAGACCGCTGTGTGTGTGCAATCTAATGCAACTTTTTGCTATAATTATTATTAAAAATATTTGCAATCTATAGTAACAGTGCATAATGAGCTATTATTAAATGAGTCATTTTAAGCATAAAAGAAAGCATATAATTAATAAATAATTTATTATAAACACTCATGCGAGGAAACTGTTGACTAACAAGTAATAGGCAACAGCACCTCAATTCGATTTCAATTTATTTATTGTTAAATGAGTTTCTGTACCTCGTTCGATGAATATTTAAATTAATTTTGGTTCTGTGTTCATCAATTTATGTTCAATAGTAATATTGATAAAGAATAACATTTGTTAGAAGTGAGATAAATGGGTTGATATTATCAACTTAATAAGAATTCTAAATTTGTTAATTTAAAAGAAAAGTTGTATACTAATAAGTATGATGCATAATATACATAATGGTTATTGTTTGAGTGTTTGATGTTTGATTTGGTAATTTGAGAATAAGTTTGGTAGGAAATATTATTTAAATTTGAGCTGATGTCAGAAATTTGTTTTTGAATAATATTAGTACCCATCGGGATTTAGATTGTCTTTATTAACATTTTTATTCTTTCGTTGTTGTACGTTTTTGATAACCATGCATTCATGATGTATGATTACCATTGCAGATGACGCATTTCAACATTTGGCAAGAGTATCGAGCTTTTGGTCAGGTTACAAAGCTGTGACTGGTTTTTGCCACACCGAACACAATATCTGTTACTATTGTTGCAGTAAGACCTAGTATAACCTTTGCTATTTTAAACATTCAGATGGGTACTAGATTGTTAGCTCTAGGTTCTTCGAATTGTATTTTTACTCAACATACAGATTTAAATTCAATAAATATTTATTGAAATCGTTAAGTGTTATAGAACATGTTCACATGGCTATAGTCCGTGTACGATACGGATTGTGTTTATCGTGGAATAATTATTCGATCTTGTTTTGGTAATTTCTTGGCCCACATATATCCGGTGGGCCAATTACCGGAATAGTCTTTCGGTGCGGTTCTACTCGAACAAGAAAATTAAGTTTCTAAATGTTTTATCAAATGTATTATTTAAATATTACATTTGCACGAGCATTGTCTTGTGAAGCGATTCCATTTTATTGCACTCTAAAATGTAATGTTATGTATAAACGTAATGTGTAATTGTGGTTTAACTTTATATTAAACACCCGAAACTTAAATAGTTAAATCACAATTAAATTAATAATGGAATAATATAATAAATGGTTTAAGTTATGCAATGTTCATTCAACCTAATTGTATTTTAAGGATTTTAATGCACTGATAATTTTCTTGTGTGTCGTTTGATTGTCCCGACACTATTCTTTAGATTTGAATATAACTAAACAGTCTTGAGTGTTTCGTCACCTTAGGTTTATGGCATAATATACAGACCTAAATTATTACTTTCGATTAGCACTTCAAGAGAGCTTAACGTATTTAATTTCGTATTTCCATATGACCATATCGATTAATAATCTTACAAATATTTTAATGTGCATTGAGCATATTATAATATAAAATCTCGAAATACTGACCCAAGGTAATTTAACAGTTATATATTTTAACAACATTGTCGGCGAAGCCGAGGTATAATAATATTTTTGTACTTTCTAAGTAATAAACCCACATCTTGTTTATTAGTACAAATGTTTTATCAAACAGACACTTAGCTATTAATAAAAACTTCCTACACTAATATATTTTTATTATTATTATTATTAAATGATGCACGATTTAATGCGTTTTATTTATTGCTAAAATGTACCCATTTGAATGTGACTGGAGGCTATATGCTTATAACATAGCGTAACAATAGTATAAATAATACAGTTAACATGCCGAAAATAAAGATAACACGTTTCGTAAGCACTCAACAAATTATATACTTTGTGAAAAAATGCAATTTCTAAACACTATAATTCGGTTGTGGATATCTCATACCTGTATAATAGTTGTTTGTGAGCGAATTAAGTAAAATTTGCAAATACATACCTACGTGGGTATTATTAATAAACGTAATACTATAGCATTATACTAGTATTTATAATCAATGCTGTTTTGACCGGACTACATTCAAGCGTTACCGCGATTCCCAAAAATTAATAACCATAGTAATAATGACTACAAGATTTAACGGTGCACTTATTTATAATGTAATGTAGCGATAGAGTTTCCAGAGATTCTTTGTACGAACGATTTCCACACCTCACGAATAAAGACGTTACCAGCGGTTTCGATATACTCACGAACTTAAACAGTGTTTGTACCTACACGTACGATACAATATCGCAAAACGAATGACCTTTTACACGTTGTTCAGATTTTGTCTTAAAAACCGATGACAGAAAGATTTTGTATTTTGTGTGTACGTGTCGCAAGTCAACCAACAAACGTGTCCTGTCCCGAGGCGTGTGAAAAAGTCAAACTCCACATATTTTACGGTTCACGTCTTTGGGTCAGGTCGTGTACAAACTCAAACTAGCATGTTCTTAACATATATACCAATGTATAAATTATTTTTCAAAAATAATATTTTGCATTTCAAGTGTAAAAGCATTAAAATAGTATACGTCATTAATTCAGCGTGAATTCCGTGTGAAAACAGCAGTTATATTTTATTGACTGGTGTACATTAGCTCGATGCTAAATATTTAAAAAAAGATGAATTGAAGGAGTCTAACGTGTGAGTCAGATTACGATATCAAGAGTATAATAAAAAGTAAATACTAATAAAACATAGTTGAATATATTGTTTTGAGCCAGGTACATATTATTATTATATGGCTAAACCGGCTATAATGCAGGTCAAAAGAATGACATACCTCGTATTATTATGTATAATTGTAATAGTTTCGACTTGCATCGACTTGAACCTCATTGTATATAATATTTTATATTTTCAAGTTTCAGTCTGTTTCCGTGTGGTGGCGTATTTAGGAATTGTTTAAGCAATTTCCCAGCTAATTTTCCAAATACCTTAAAGTGGGGACTTCGCTTCAGAATATATTAATATACATGTTAGATGTTTTAGGTATTTATGGGGCCAATTATGGGGGGGTCTGGACCCCATACCCCCCCTAAATACTCCACTGTTACTGTGTAGGTATGCATGTTTAAGGTTAATAATAATTATTAGCCACTACGCGTTAAAAGCATGACTTCTGATTAATGACGAATAGTACCTATATAACTCATATAATAAATGATCATGTTTCTACACGTCATGTTAAACAATTATCAACATTTTTATTTTCAAATAGTTATATTAAATTGAAAAATGTTACTTGTGAAAATAAAAATATATATACTTGTTGTAAAATAATAACACTTCCGATATAAATATTTGTAACCGCAGACATGTCATTTTTTAGATGTCTTAATTTCCAGATTGTTTCGTTTATTTTTTTATTATTATTAATTGAGCTTCAACTACAAGTCTATTAGCTTACATTAGATAATTACATTTAAACATCTACTTATTATTTTATCGAAGCAAACAGCTCATTACCTATGTATTATATTAGTTTCTATTGTAGTTATAGGAGCCTAGGAGTCTATACAATTACAGGAGTCATCTATACATTATATTTTGATAGTTTCTAAACGTTATAGCAATTATGATAGGTAACATCAGTAGTCACTTATTTTAAAGTACCGTATTTTATACATAAATATTGTAATAACAAGTTTAGTGTGGAAAGTTAGACTCACATAGGTATAGAATTTGTATTTTGTATAGGTCATAATAATAATTGTGTACCCATTGTATATATGCCATATAGTATTTGACAGTATTGTAAAAAACACATTAATTACTATTCTACGAATCTGTATAACTGTATAATAATAATATGCACAAATTGATCACAGTATGAAAATCATATAATAAATTGTCGATTCATACTGGTCATGAGTACGACAGCTTTCACTCGCATAAAGCATAATAACTAAATAATATTATGTCCTTTCGTTTTTACATTATCGGTGTAATTAAAATTAATTGGATACGTAAATGTTTAATCATGTTTGAAATGTCAATTTTAAGCATTTTTTGTATTAGCATAATGTATGCCATCTCGTTACTATAATAATAGTATAGTAATAGCACTATAGAACTCCAGAACTAATGTTGTATTTTATGATGGTTTGTTTGCAGGAATGACATGGAAATGTGTACAATCAACATGTGTTTTCGAAACTGATTTTGGGCTGTCAATCAATTGTGGTCTAAAAAAGTCGGGATTATTTCGTGTGAGAAATCTTGGAGGCCTTAAAGGATACGTCGGAGTCGGTAAGCGTACTCACTACTCACCGTATAAATGTATTTGAAATAATTTTGAAATATACATTTTATCCGAGCAATAATTATAGGTTTATTAATAAAGGGCACTATTATAAGTTTTATCTATTGCCAAGAATTCATCAAATGCATCGTGAACAATTTATCACCAACAATTCATAGTGATGTCAAATTTATTAGGGTCAAATAATACATCTAGAACCATTATTAATTAATTAACAAATATTTTAATGTAAACAATTTCATTAATGTATATTTCATTAATCAATCAATATTATAAGTTCTCGAAATTTATATATCTATTAAAAATTTTACCATTCTTAAATTCAAATACTTGTAGCCTGTAGGTATGTATATACCAAATATTTTGATAGGCAACCCGTCAAAAATAGTTTATCCCTAAGGGAATGTTTATAATAATTATGTTAAATATCACGTACCTACCTACGTTTTTAATGTAGTCATATACTTTAAAGCCGGTATTTTAGATTCCAAATGGAGTGATTAAAGTATTAATTTTACAATGATGTGCTTTTTTTGTGCCTTTTGGAGCAGTAAAAATGATTAGATTTTAAAATTCAATATCTTTTCTTGTGAATCTAGATAGTATTTTTGGTAGTCAAAAGTCAAAATGACTGGTAAATATAATAATAATTGGGAAAAATACAAATACAAATAGGGAAACACTGAGATTTTCACACAAAACAAGTTTTTGTTGTAATTTAAACGATGTTCAAACGAATAACCTACGAAGGATCATAACTCCTACTCGATAGACCTACTTGACATTTTCACAAAATGTTCATATTAGCATTTTTAATATAATATACATAATATTATGTTATCATTTTAATATTTTTAATTATTTTAGACTATGTATAAGTTAGACATTTGGATTTTTTTTTTTATAAATGTCGGTTAAACTAATTTTTGCTCTGTTAAAAAACTTAAAAATTTAATACAAGGACCCACATAAGTAGTTATCAGTAAAATTTAATAAAAAGAGAAAATTTGAATCAAATGTAGTTGCACCTGACTTAACGTCGACTATATAGGTATATTTTGGTGTGTACAATTATTGTAATGTTGTAAAGGTATTGTACTCACTGAGCTTGAGCATAAAATAATAATAATATATTATAAAAAATCCTCTTTAACTTTTTAATTGCGTTGAAATATAGTATATGATATAATGTAGGATTTGGCTGCAGTAACTGTTATACGAAATATTTTAGATATCTAACAAAATCATCTAAACGTCGTTTTATACCATCCAATACTTTTAAGAGTGCTCACTAGCGAACAAAATATGCCATAAAAACGGTATCCGGACAATTTCCCCCCGGACATTTTCCCCCCGACTGTTTTTGGCGTAGTAGGACATTTTCCCCCCGAAAAATGTTCCGATGCGGACATTTTCCCCCCATTTTTTCATAAATATAATAAAAACGTAAAGTAATTGTAAGTAAAATAGGTTAAAAATTTCATTTTTTTTTTCATAAATAAAATAAGACATAAAAAAATTGTATATAAGTAAAATAGGTTAAAAATGTCGACATAAAAATGATAATTTTTATACAAAAGTCCAAAACCTTTGATCATGAAGATATAAGATTGTAGAAGAATCTTATCTTAATAGTCTAATAAATCAAATAATAAGATAGTTTTTGACAGCCCAGCAATTGATTGGGTTTTAGATACAATTTTAGATTTCAATGTTACTAGCGAATAATACAGTATGCTAGTACTATTATTTTTTATTTAGACAATCTTTTAAATATAATATTACTATTATTTTATTGTTTCAAGTAGTTGAATTGATCAAAAATATATATCTACTATAATAAGTAATTGATTATATTTATAAAAAAAAATTATATTTAACTGAAAAAAAATAATTTCTTATTAAATAATAAATAATAAACTTAAAAAAAAAATGGGGGGAAAATGTCCGCATCGAATATATATTGGGGGGAAAATGTCCTACTACGCCAAAAACAGTCGGGGGGAAAATGTCCGGGGGGAAATTGTCCGCCATTCCATAAAAACATGGTTTCGTAATTCAAGTAAAACAGCTTATTGAAGCTTATCGATCGTTCAAATATGGCAATAACTGAAATATGGACTATTCTTTAAATAAGTTTGAAATGTGTTTTTATTATTAGAAATTGTATTATAAGCTCACATCCTCTCATCTGAGTACACGGTTTTTTAAATATTATAATTTATGATACTATCAAAACTTCGATCGTCAGCATTGAGTTGTTGACACGTACCCACAAATGGCTATTAATAATACGTCGAACTCTATCATTGTATAATATTATGGTTTTCAGGCATACAACTGGCCGACGAACTAGGATTCAAGGAGTCGCTTTCGACTCTGGAACAAAATAGTAAACGTCGTTCAGTCAATGGGTTTCCAGTGCCGGGATCGTTCGAACCTCTGCAGTCCGTACCGCAAAAGAACAATCACGCAGTGAGTATATTATACAACACAATACGCACATTTGTCATAGGTATGAAATATTATCATACGTCTAGATTCGAAATTATTAAGTCGGATAGTATTTTACCTAACGGTTGTGGTTGGGAAATGTAGACATAGATTTACGTATACCGCGATAATAATATATACCCATGTCGTATTCGCCTCGCGATCATTCGCCAAATCCTTTGTCACTTTTTATTATTATTCCCTAATACTTTATATAATATATTCTCGTCCGATATTCCAGTCACGGTGCTGCGAAGTTCCGGGATGTCTTAAATTATTCAGTTGGCACGGGCTATGAAAAAATACGACTAGTGCCTGTTCTATATACCACGCTGCAGGTTATACTGTCGAGGTACCTACACGGAAACACCGTCTCCAATCGATGTTTAACATAGTAAATTATTCGATACGTTTTACAATATTTTCAGTTGTATTATACTTTTTCATTGTGACATTATTTTTTATTCTTTAAAAAAAAAAAAACTCTGGTTATATTAAAATTAAAATTGTGATATCGCCTGATTTTCAAATGTTGTTTTTAGACACATTTCACTCACACAGGAAAAAAAATGAATACCTACGTCATATACCTACTATTGTGAAGAAGTATGACTTAATCAATACTTTCTTGCAATTTAGTTACATTGGTGTGTGTTTTTATTTATTTATTTATTAATTTTGGTCTGTCAGTAGGATCACTAAAAATACTTCATTGTTAAACGTTAGGGGTAGTTTCTGGTAGAAAATAAGATCTACGAGGTGTGAGTGTGGAGTGAGGGGGGTCAAACAATGCTTATACAACAATGTACTTTACAGCAGAGCAACTTTCCCAGTTATTTTATAATGACTTGTTTTACCTAAATAATAACATTAATGTATAATCACCTTAAATTTTCACATTTTAATCATAATAAATATTTTAATAATATTATAGTATATATTTTAGGAAAACAATTCTTTGATCTATCAACCTTAAATTCAAATTTTTTTTTAAAATGCAAAACAATTTTTTTACTGCTTATTTGATTTCACTGTGATTATTTAGTATTTTGTTGACACATACCTACTGTTTACGTATATGCATTTAATTAAAAATATATTTGTGACGAAAGTAGAAAAATTAAACAGAAATCATGATTTACATAACTTGTATGTTAAATATTGTGGTCAGGCGTCAGCTAATCCGTGAGAAACTTCTGGTCCTGAATTTAGTTTAATGTATTTAAAATAAAAAAAAATTGCATAAATGAGTACTTACATTTATTATTGCATATCAGACTAATAAAAAATCGTCACAGAGAAATGTAGAATATGATTAATTTTTGCCTACATCAATATGTGTAAACTTACATAAGTTAGGAAACCACACTCTACGAACGTGCTAAATTTTCGGGTTTTAAAGTATTTTAATACAACGTAATTAACAAAAATTACATAGGTACTCAATTTAAAAATACTTTTGGTAACCTTTTTATATCTGTACCTATTTTTAATGTTGGCTATGGATCAATATTAAACACTCATAGTTTGATATATTTTAATAGGTACTAGCTAGTATGAATTTACTTAGAAGTTTGAATAAAAGTATAGCACCTTTGTAAAATATTAATACAAAAAAGGTGCTCTGCTGTACAGTAGGTTACAAGTGGGTCACTGTATAATGGATGGTATTAAATTTGAATTCAATGATATAGGTATTATCATTGTATAAGAAAAACGATTCTATGGTATCTATGGTATTAAAAAATATTTACCTACAATAGGTACCTATAATAAATTTCAAATTAATCATATTACAATATCCATTAGATACTTTTAACGCATTTACATCAACAACAAACCTTGATACTATCATAGATATATAATAGTGTACTTTAGAAGTTTCAAGTACCTATACCCACGAATAATATTATACAATCACAACAAAATAACTAAAATAGTTACTCTAGGATTTTTATTATGTAATTTCGTCCAAATTTGACTAAAATGACTATAAAAATAAACTGTGTCTACTGTCTATGTATTTTTTAGATTTTTTGGTAACAGAATTAATTACTTAAGTGGAATCTTGTTTTAAATTTTCAATCCTTAGATATAAAAGTTGAACATTTTATACATTTTTAACTACAAAATAATTATTCAATTTTAAATTTGATACATTTTGTCAAAATTCGATCTTTAAATGCTTATAAAAATAAATTGAACAGTGAACTACTAATCGTGTACATAGACACAAAAAAAAAAATAAAAAAAAAAACACACATCATTGTAAAATCAATACATTCATCGTAACACTCAGAATCTAAAATCGTAACTATATAATTACCTATATTCTTGTTGCTGGTAACTAGCTGACAGACGGGCGTAATGGTGAATGGGGATATTATAATGTTCTAAAATCCAAACTAATGTTTATAAAGAAACCTAAAATGAACGAAATTGTAAATTATCTACAGTATAACCTAAATAAATAAAGCCACAAAATTAGTCACAAAGTGACTCATGATAATATACTTATATAATAGTATAATATAAATATCTGAACAATAATTTTTATGAACATTTCACTTGTAAAACCGAACATGTCTGCAAAATAATAATGATTTTGCTAAGTTTTGATGATTCCTATTATTATATAATGTTTCTTATACATAACTATACCTACTTATAATTTTTTTTTTTTTTTCAAATATTTGTAATTCTCATCAGTGTTTGGCTATAAGTGGAACGTAGTTTTATTACCTCGAATACCTATAGCTGGTTACGAGTAGGAACAGTCTTACTTGTTCATGTGTAATTGGTAATAATTACTAAATAAAGATGATGGATAAATTTCAAGTTGACCATATTCCTTACAAAATTAGTGAAAAATGTGCTTTTATATATTTTTTTTTGAAATTAATTAACCCTCAGAAACTTAGGCCATTGGGAGGGTTTTTAACTGTGGAGGAGGGTACTGTAGGTTAAACACTTGTGTTTTGATATTTTGACAGATTTTTTAGTGGGTATCTGCCCGGGTGGGGGATGGCGGCACTTGTTCTCCGGACACCGTGACTGGTCCGAAGAAAAATGCCACCCACGGCCGAGGTGTGCTTTATGTAATATGCATTATACATTTATATTGATAGTTGATACGGTAAATATTAAATGAAGAACAAATTAAGGAATTTTTATTTAGATGATTTTAGTTTATGTATTATAATATACATTATACACTATACATTAGCACCTAATAGAGTAAAGTGATGTGAATAATTTACTGGATTTCACTGTACTTATTCCTTTCAGGTATCATACATCAGTACTTTTAAAAATGAGTGTATTATACAATTTAAATTAGATGATAATATTGTGTCACTTTAAAGGGAATATCCATTATGATGATTTAATATAATACCATTTATAATTATGACAAACGCACTCGGCTAACTTAATTTGAAAAAAAACCTATCTCGACATGAATCATGAAATATAAATACTTTCTATTTTAAGGTCCGGTTTATACAGTCACTCATTATTTCCAAGACTTTTAACTTTTTTAAAAAAATTAGTTTTACAACAATATATTATGAGATGTCATTGCAAAACAATATTTTTTTAAATAAAAAAGATATTTTCTAAACTTTTTTGTCGTTATTATTTTATATGTTTGATTATATAATATGTATTTTTGATTCTGAGCGTAGCGAGGGACCTAGTGGTTTTACAATAGTGTTTATTATTTTTTTTTATCCTGTATACAAAATTTCTACCAGAAGGAGTGCTTCGATTAGAAAATTGGATCAAGATGGTACTTAAAAGAGGTCATTTTTCGATTTTCACAATAGTTATTTAATGACATGGCAAAAACCACTGACAAATTACAAAAAACCGTTAAAAATGGGATTTTAATTTCTATCGCTTTGTTTATCATAATAAAAACGACAAAAAATAAGAATAACAATTTTAGTTATTTTGTTGTAATTTATAATATTAATTCAACATACAGACTATTATAAAATATAATAACAATATCAAATATCCGGACTGACAAACCGTCTGCGTTCAGAATCGTTTTTCGTATACAATGATATGATATCATTGAATTCAAATTTAATACAATCCATTATGCAGTGACCCAATTGTCATCTACTGTACAGCAGAGCTACATCCACTTCCCCCTTTTTTTTATATATATTAATACGATTAGGTGTGACATAATTATTCCACTATTCGTGAATCTTGTTCTTGCATAATATATTTATTATAAATTCACAAATATAATTTTGAATTCAGACCGTATTATATATTGATATATTTTGTGAAAATAATTCATACCGCTTTGTAAATATTTAAACCATAAATAATAATAATGCTTGAATTTGTTTTGGCGATCCTCCGTAGTATCATAGGCCCGTCCTTTAGTTCACATTTTTATATTTTATATTCCTAAGCAGAATAGTTTTCAGAGTACATCAGAATCTAACTTAGAACTAGTAGTTATAATTAGTTGTAAGTATTTAAAATAAATTTAAATGAGTAGTGGACCAATAGTACACAGAATGATTACCTATCCACGTGGCCATGTGCCAGTATCGAATTTTAAACGAACAAAAAGGTACACACAATACATTCTTGACACATTACCATCCATAGAATTGTATGAATAGGTCCCAATATTATAATTATATAAAAGTCCAAATTGAATTAAATTAGTTACATAGTTTTATAATATGATATTAATACGTTTATCAGTAAATTACTAAAAAGTAAAAGCTATTTAAAACTATTTATTTACAGGACTCCACAGCATTTATGTAGAAGACGTGTATAGGTAGGGGAATTCCGAAACGAACAGTGGTACAGTAAGTTTAAGGGCCAGTTGTACCGTCTATGATTCAATTATGATTAAGCTTAATCAGCTGATAGATTAGATAGATTTAATCATAGATGGTACAACTGGTCCTAAGTCGTAAACTCGTAACGATCGCACACGTTCAAATATTACAAGGCGGAGAACCACTTTGTTATCAAAATTAAACTTGAAAAACGGACATCCGACACGTGCAGTCCACTGATCATGGTCACATTTTTCCGGAATTTCATATTATCAATCCCATAATCGAATCTCTTGCATTGTATTCCAAATCCGTTTTCGGTCGTTTGTTGGGCTAGAAAAAAATAAGAAATAATTCCCAAATGTATTGCCAATATTGATGATTTCGTTCCGTGTAACCCACCACGCATTTTATACAAAACTATCAATGTATCATCTTAATTTCGTACGTGTGGCTGTGTATTTTTACTTTTCTATTTATTATGTTCAGCTTGTTGTGCAACACGGACCTAATGCCGCCACAGTGACGCATAATATGTCCACACTGCACATATTATATTGTGAGAATACGTTCTGCAGAAATACGTTTAAATAATATGTATGATAGAATAATGTACAAACTCAACTGAGAACAAAAAATTTATTTTAACTTAAATAATGGTTTCACCATTTCCAATTATAAACTTGCATCAGATTACCATTAATCTATCCGCCCAATCGTTTGGAACATTTTATATTGTGAGTTTCACAATAATATATCTTATTCTTATAATATAATACAAACAAATATGTAGTTACAAGTACATACTTTGTACGTAAAGAAATAAAAATCTTTGTAAATTAATGAAATTCATAAAAAATCAATAAATTAATTTCGTTCTCCTAATCAATGTTGTGATACACCTGATATTTGCATCAAATTAATTTTCACAACTTGGATATTTCTATTATTATTATAATATTATAATATATTTTGTATATTAAACAAATATAGTTATATATTTTTTCAAATACATTAAATGTTATTTAATAGGTGGGTAACCTTTAATAATACAACGTTATACACTAATTCATTCAGTAGGTAGAACACGTCATATTTTTTAATTTTTATGACTTAAATAATATGATAGAAATATTAAATATATTATTATGATTTTTTGATTTTATACTGCTAGCAAAATAATGAATATGCACAAATGCACAATAATAACGGCTGCATATTGACAATTGTCTACCTAATTGAATTACAAACGTTACATCACTGCCGAATTACCTTTACGCTTACAATTATTCCACATGATGGCCACAGGTATTCGACACTAAAAAATATTAATAAAAATATAAAAATTTGCAAGCAATGATTGTTTATTCCAAACACGTCTAGAATAGTTTTAATTTTTTTAAATTTAAATTTAAATTTCTACAAAACCCCGTCTGGTAACAGGTGACGACACTGACGGTGATTAACATTGTGAAAAAAAAATGTCGTTAAAAATGTATGTGGCGCCTTTGCGTGTATATTTGTATAATTAAAACATTTTCCTAGGTCGTTAAAAAAAAGTCCTTCTCTTTTTATAACCTCGCCCATGCGTGTACGCGATAATTACTTTTTCGCTTCACTATAATATTGTAAGAATATGATATAATATTATTGTAACACAAAAACGTTTCCGTTTTATTTTTCCGCAGACGACCGCTGCAGCCAACAATGACAATCAAGACAGATCGGCTTACGCCAAGATGAATGGCAGACCTGCTGCGGGCGTCGTCACGGTGCCGCCTTTCCGGCCACTGATGGCAGCGGCCAACAACATGGTACGCAATGTCAGACTGGCCGCTCAACAACAACAACAGCAACAACAACAGCAACAACAACAGCGACAACTACAACAACAACAACCGAAACAGCAACAGCAACAACAGCACATTTTGAAGCCACTGCCAGTGCCAGCGTTCGCCGCCCTGCCAGAGTCCATAGCCAAAGTCGCAGTGGAGCCAGCGCAACCTTCGCCGGTCGCCGGTGGTCATAGGCAATCACCGATGGCTCCAGTGGTGACGCCGATGGTCAGCCGACTGCCCGTGCCGCAGATGATGCAACCTGTCGCTTTGATGCAAACCCAACGTCAGACGATGCCTTCAATGATTTTTATGACTCCGTCACAACAGCAGCAACAGCCGATGTTTATGTCGCAGCAGCCTCAACAACCGCAGACAATGATCATGTCACAGCAGCCGCAGCAACAGAAACAGCTTATGGGGATAATGTTGCAGCAGCCACAGCAACAGCCTATGGGGATAATGTCGCAGCAGCCACAGCAACAGCCTATGGGGATAATGTCGCAGCAGCCACAGCAACAGCCGACGGTGATAATGTCGCAGCAGCCACAGCAACAGCCTATGGGAATAATATTGCAGCAGCCACAGCAACAGCCGACGGTGGTCATGTCACAGCAGCAACAGCAGCAGCAGCAGCAACAGCAGCAGCAACAGCAGCAGCAGCAACAGCAGCAGCAACAGCAGCAGCAGCAACAGCAGCAGCAGCAGCAGCAACAGCAGCAGCAGCAGCAGCAACAGCAGCAGCAACAGCAGCAGCAGCAGCAGCAACAGCAGCAGCAGCAGCAACAGCAGCAGCAACAGCAACTTTCGCCAGTGTACTACCACAACGCCATGCAGCAAGCGGCCAACAGGCGTTTCAACGTAAGTGTGCAGCATATTAACATCATAAGTGGAAATCCGTTAAAATGTCAGTGATCGGGGGGGCTAACGTTTTTAACATAAATGTGAGTGAGGGGGATCCCGCAAAACTAAAAATCTGTATATTTTTCTGGCGTTAAATGGGATATTTGGGAGTGGGTTAAGTCACCTCAAGCCCTTTCCGATTTCCGCCAATGGCTTCACAAGTTATAGGTATAATCTGTTATTTTTACCGTTTAAAGTTTAAAGGTACCTAATACAAACGTCTGCGCAATGACAATAATAGTACCGTTATTCAAAAATGACGTCTAAAAGCTATTAACCTCAACTCCTGCAGTTGGTAGGTACAGAAACGGTTATCAACAATAATATTTTATTTGCAGTATTATAATATTAGGCGTGTGAAGCAGAGAATGGTGAAGTTGTATGTAAGTGCCTAATTAGTATTTACGAATATTCTAATAAGTAACATAATAATATAATCATATACCTATATTGGCAATATCCATTTATCTGCCACAAACAGACTAAACATTGTAAATAAATTGTATAATGTCTAATAGTCTAATGTGTATGCGCACCAGTAATAAATTAACCTTTGTCCGCCAATGATGATACTGAATAATATAATATGATGTATGCCTACATTATACCTGCATTTATACTGTTCTCTAGTCATCGCCATTTAGTTTTGACAATTTATTATTGAACAATTGGTTTTAGTGGGGTTATTAAGAAGTAAAGGAATAAGACTTAGTGTTTGTGGGTGTGTGTCTAAACACTTAGTTGAGCAAATAACTTTGTTTCCACTATTTTATACCAAGAACGCTCGTCACATCACGTGTTGGAATAACCGCTGAAATAACATGCACTAAATCGATTGAGTTTTTTTATTATTTTTAAATCTTATATACAATATTGTACCATTATTTATAAGTTACCTTCATTTCAAAAAGTTAATACATGCTTAATTTATTTTTCAAACAATTGGTTTAAATAAAATATCACTTTCATGTTTTTCGAGCTTCGAAAGTTCACAGGCCACATTCAATAATGTATTATTATAATATATCGTATAATTAAATATTACAGGTAGGTACTTGTATTTTATGCATTTTTAATAAAATTGTCCTCGTTTCTTCGTTTATAATGTGCTTATACATTACCAAAACTACTAAGGTATATTTGATTTTATACATTAACTTTCAGTTATAAGAGTCTTGTATATATTAGCATAATACATTCTAAATTGAGTGCTTTAGTAGGTATAAAATAAATAATAACATGCATTACTAAAGTAAAGTTAATGGAAAGAAGTATTTGAATAAAATGCCCCGTGTGTTACCACGAAATAAAGATCCATCCTTCTTTAATGTACCCTATTAAAACATAATATTATAATTAATCTATATTTATTATTAAACATAGCCCGTAGGTGCCTATATATTATTATGTAATATAGTGTAAACTGTAACATGCATTTTTTAATCATTTTTTACTATAATATAAGTATTAAATCTATTTTAACATTTTTAATTATTATTTATAATGAACCTTTTAGTAAACACCAAGTTACCCACTGAATAATCCTATAGGAAATGTAAATAATAAAACTGTGATTCAGTTAATATTAAATTTAAACTCATATTAGGTAATATAATAAAATATTATAACAATAATATTGACTTTATATGAAATATTATTACATTTATTAATGTTTTAATAATTCTGGTCTAGGTTTAACGGGTGTATAATTTCCATTTTCTTCCGAGTATACAAGATTCTAGTCATATTGCTTTGCTTATTGAAATTTAGAAATTAACAATTTATTATTTTATTTGTTGAATTTGTTCAAATTCTTCAATTATATTAAGTGAAAAATTATATTTTCGATGGATCTTATTTTAGTGATTACTCTCGGTATGTATTTTTACATATTTTACCTAATTTTAGATTCTGAGCGAAGCGATGAATGTATTGATTTTACAATGATGGGTGTTTTTTATTTTTTTATTTTATTTTTGTGTCTGTTGCCACCGTTTGGGGCAGTAAAACTGTCAAAAGTTTTGAAAAATTTTTGACAAAATGTATCAAATTTAAAATTTAATAATTATTATTTTGTATTTAAAAATTTATAAAATGTTCAACATATAATATCTAAGGATTGAAAATTTAAAACAAGTTCCCACGTAAACAGGTTATATTATATAGGTATAAATTACTTTATTCACAATAATATCATCGAATATATTTGGTAATATCATAGGCTGACTGACCGTCTTCGCTCAGGATCGTTTTCCTTATACAATGATAATATTATATCTTTGAATTCAAATTTTACACTATCCATTGCAGTTACCCACTTGTAAACTACTGTACAGCAGAGCGACATCCACTTGTCCACCTTTTTTTTTATTTAAGGTTAAAACTTATTTTCATGCTCTCATGTATGCTAAATTGTACAATTATTTTATAAAATTCTATTTAATATGATACGTCCCCTAAAAACTGAAGAACAGATCATAACTTGTCTAAGTATTTTGAGTAAAGTTCTGCATACCTAAAACGTAATTCATGCTAAAATATTATAATATAAATATATTTAACAAATTTATGATAATATTCATAGTAATACCTACTTTATAATTATTATTATAAATTCTTCTAAAATTTGTCATACAGCGAGTTACGCGATTGTTAAACCACGGTTTTACTTGAATTTTACACATTTATCGTTATATACTAGCTTATATTACCAAGTAAATACAATACATTTATAATAACACCAATTTCACTGCCCTAGAAGAGTATTGATAACTATTTATCATTTCAAGGAACCTATGAATAGTATTGGTGACATTACAATATAGTCACGCCGAATTCGGTTTCAAATCTCCGGGAAATGGGTGACGCGTTTCATAGGACCAGAAATGATTATGACGTGGCTGTCAAATATTATAATGTATATAATTTACCATATTAATTATAAATACAGTAAAATAATAAATTATGATAACACTTGCAATCTCGTTTCACTGTACATTTTTGTTGTCACACTGCACACCACTATTTACAATAATATTATATTATACCGCTCTCGAAGATGCTTTGACGTGAAAACGATATGATCGAGATTCGAACTGCTTAGGTACCGCAAAGATATCAATCCTCGGCCACCCATGTTTTCCAAACTGTGTTCGACTGGTTACGACCGAAATTACCATGGTTGCTCGGTCAAAAGTATACAGCGTAAAGGCGGGTTTCCACTATACACGAAAAATGTTCAGCTATGTCCAACAAAACGGTATCGTGGTTAATCGTGTGGTAACTTAACATAACCAACCAATCACAGCACAGGATTTGTATGCACGTGAACGCGTACGTGTATAGTGTAAACCCGCCTTTAAGGGGGGTTCACACTACACCTTGTTGTGTAAAATAATCAGTGTTACCGCAGTTACCAAACGGTACCTCATACCTAGTTGAATATATTCAACTATGCGGTAACAGTGATTATCTTACACGACACTGTGTAGTGTGAACCCCCCTTAAGTTACTGCCCTCTGGTGACAGTGTATTATTTTGAGTTGGTTTTCCACCTACCCGTCCGAATCGTCCGATTATTCTTAAAATATTATTATTATTGGTCAAACCATTTTCACTTCACCGTCGGCAAAGAGTGTGTTGGACTCGGAAAATGCGACCATCGTTGTCGAATTGTTTCCCCTTCGATTCTCTATCAAACCGTTGTCATGACGTCGTCTTCCACGAATGTGTATTATTAATATCACTATATATATTGTGTGCGGTGCGATTAATTCTAGTGGAACGAAACTTATATTTAAACGGGTATGATAATATAGCAGGTATTTACTATATTTTATGATTAATATACGGTATTATATTTGTAAACCGCATTATTTCCAGTCTGCTTAAACACGTCGCCAAGTTCCCGGTGATTAAAAGCAGAGGTAAGACGTGCATGATTAGTCATCTCTGTAGGTACCTACATTATTCACAGATTACTTTACGACTCAATACCGTTATTTAGAATTTTTTGGTTTTTATAGATCTTAATGAAAAAAAACCCGGCATTTGTGGCAATTAGTTGTAGTTGGGTATTTTACAATTATTTTCAACTATACAATTATTAATATACTTATATAAATTACATTAAAGCCTAAAGGTGATCATTAGGATGACAATATTATTGAAAGACTAATTCTTATAGTAACTAAGATCTAATGATATAGGTTTTCATATTTTGTTTTACATTGTGTTGTACAGGTCTGTTTTTTTTGAGAAGGCTTTATCATCTTGGTGTTATCTTTGGTTTCTGGGCCCAATGGAGTGTCAAGGATCGGAACCATCCCGATATTTTTTCGATCTCTTTCGTATTTGAGGTATTCGGTTATTATGTGTTTCGCAGTCAGTTTGATCCCAAAGACTTCGCAAGTGGGGGTTTCTTCCTTCCCCATTTGGTACTCATGTGTAATTCGTGTGTGCCAAATTCTAAATCGATTCAGAACCGGTTCTTCTTTTATTTTAAGATAACTGTTTATCCACCTGTTGGTAGTTCTTTAGTGTTTAAATTGGTAATATTCTATAGGCTGCATCAAATTCCGTTTTTCAATATTTTAATCTCAAACTTTATAATATATATCGTCAAAAATAATACAATTTTAAGCGTTTCTTACAAATAATTATATTATACCATTACCTATAAATATATAAAAAATACATTATTAAATAACATTACATATAAAAAGGTGGGCAAGTGGGTGTCGCTCTGCTGTACAGTAGGTTACAAGTGGGTCACTGTATAATGGATGGTATTAAATTTGAATTCAATGATATAATATCATTGTATAAGAAAAACGATTCTGAGCGGTGACGGTATGTCAGTCTATGTATAAGACATATTATATACATATCTATGGTATTAAACAAAAAATTGACCTATAATAGGTACCTATAATAAATTCCAAATTAATCATATCACA